TCTCCCTAAAGTACAGGTGAGTCCTTCTCCCAACAGTACAGGTGAGTCCGTCTCCCTAAAGTACAGGTGAGTCCTTCTCCCTACAGTACAGGTGAGTCCTTCTCCCTACAGTACAGGTGAGCCCTTCTCCCAACAGTACAGGTGAGCCCTTCTCCCAACAGTACAGGTGAGCCCTTCTCCCAACAGTACAGGTGAGCCCTTCTCCCAACAGTACAGGTGAGCCCTTCTCCCTAAAGTACAGGTGAGCCCTTCTCCCTAAAGTACAGGTGAGTCCTTCTCCCTACAGTACAGGTGAGTCCTTCTCCCTAAAGTACAAGTGAGTCCTTCTCCCTACAGGATGGGTGTTACTCTGAACAAGCTTTCGTGGTCTGTCGTGGACTCTCATGGTCTCTCCTGTGTTCCACAGTGAGCTGTCAGATTTCTGCGACGCTCTGCAGGATCCTCTGAGGATTCCCAAACCAAACCCCATCAAACTGATCCACACGGACCTGCCTCTACTTCCTGAAGACAGAATCCACTGCTCGGACGTGCTTCACGCACTCGCCACACAGGTGACGTTATCTTTATTTTTATTATCATTATTATTATTGTTGTCATTATTATTATTATCATTGTTATCATTATTATTATTATTATTATTGTCATTGTTATTATTATATTATATGTGCAGGTGTTGGGTGACTCAGGAAAGCTGAACTCTCTCAAAGCTAGAATGGAGGAAAAGTTCATGGCCAACCCGTCCAAGGTTTTACACTATTCTATTCTATTCTTTTTTTATTTTATTCTACTCTACAACATTTTATGTCTTTTTGTTTTTTAATTATATTTTATTTTATATTCTATTCTGTAGTTTTTTACCTGTTCTCTAAACCCAGCAATGTTTGACCAAAGCAGAAACCTCTGGTGCTGAGAACTTTAGCCAAAGTCAAAAACTGCAGTTCTTCAAATGTCCACTTGAGGATCAAAAAGCAAGTCAATCACCAGACCTCGGTGTTAAAATGCCCAACTTTACAGCAGGAGGAGCATTCGTCCGTCCAGGGAAACAAATGATATGTTTATCTCACACAGGTTTAACAATGATACTCATACAGTCATAAAGTGATGGCATTCATGACAATGAATATGAACAGAGACAATCCTTTAGTTCGTAATTATTTATTCAAACATGTAACAAATAAATAAAAAACTAAACAAAAAAAAACACATAAAATGAACAGTAAATACAGCAAAGTGTCAAAAAACAAATTATCATAAACAACATAAATTAAATGGTAAATGGTAAATAAATTGTACTTGTATTTCTCTTTTCTTGTCTTCCGACCACTCAAAGCGCTTTAACCCGTCATCGACTCTCCTTCACATCTTTCCTTGACCACAAAACATGTTATGTAATGGTTATTAACAGATGTTAGGAGGTTTGTTTTTTTTACTTTCTAACTAACAGCTAACTGAACAACTAGTACAGGGTCTGCTGAGTACGTCACTGCTACGTGTCAGACAGCTTGCTGAGTTTTATTTAGTTTGATGACGTGTCTTGTATGACGACTTCGACCTGATTTCTTGCATTCGTCGTTGCTAGTTCTGAGTTTTAAGGAAATGTGTCATTGGTGTGTCTGAGTTAGCCGATGGTGGATCGTATTCAATCAATCACATTAACAGCTGTGGTCGTTGCAGATCTGAACTCTACTGAGAGCGCCTCTCTAGTCTGGAAGGAAGTTGGTTTGTTTGATTTCATTTTACCTTCAGTTCTGAATTATTTTATTAGGTGAAAGGAGGCAATTGGTCAAAACATGCAAACATTAATTTAACTGATGACAACTGGCGGTCTTTTATTGGTTCATTCTTGCAGATGTGAGTTATATGTATATAATATATATATAAGATCAAATATGTCTTATTGTCACCAACGGGACATTTAGTTTGGCCAACAGAGCTGCAACCTGTAGAATACAATACGTAGCAACCAGACAGCGCAGTGGTACACCAACCACCAGACCTATCAGAAGATCATTGATTATTGTTGCCTATAGATGTCGTGTGAACCAATCAGCAGCAGCCTGCTGGGGAAACAGGAAGCCGTGGCGACAACAGCGATCCAGAGAGCAGACAAGAACCACGATGAAGAGACGTCCGTCGAGTCTGTGGATGTTTCAGCTTTACAGTGAGTTCTGCTCCGCCCTTTAATGCCCCCGACTTCCTGCCAGATGAGAACCTGAAGGACTCAATCATCACCTGTGGACTTTCCTCTCACATCAGAGACACAAATTAAAGTTTGCTGAATCAATTCTGAGCTTTTCCTCTGGCCTTGAAAACATTCTTCCTGCGACTTTACTTCCTCGCAGAGCTCAGTCTTTGTTGATATTAAACTTTACAAATAAACTTGATATAACTACTAATCCCGGTTATGATTAGCATTCATATAACACTGACTGGGATTGTAGACTATTCGTCTATTTCATAATCGTCATTTTGTGTAATCTTGTCTTGTATCAGATAACATACAGAAAAGATCCAGATCTATGTCTCTGATTACAGACTTTATTATATATAATATTATATAACATTAACACATAATCATTCATATTTTATAGACGTTTGAAGACATTAGTATTATAAAAGTAACAGCATGAAAAAAGTAACATTAGCACAAAAAAGTGAAGTTTGTGTTAAAGTAATAAAGTAGTGTTGCACCCTTCAACATACAGACAACCTAAAATATGAGTCCAACTGATTATTGGTTATTAACCACATGCTCCTCTAATATGTTTACTTTAACCAAGACATCCTCCTACTGTCAGAGTATCATCTTTTTAGAACTGTTATTATATATCTTTACTTTGTTATAAAGTTCTACTTCATTATACATTTTACTATATTTTATCATTTTTATCATATTTTACAGTTTTACTTTTTTAATCATTTTTACCTTATTATAGTCTACATTTTGTATGGAGTTTTGTTGTGTAGCGTTGATATTTTGCTGCTGATGCTATCTCTCTTTTACACGTGTAAAACTAAATAAATGCAGCTCAAAACATTTCACCTTGTTCAATATTCATTTTAGCCGATGGCTGTCACCAATAAATGATAAGCTCCCACAGTGGCTCTCTGTATCCGCCCTGATGAACAGCAGCTGGAGGCAGGAAGAAATTTTAACAGGTGAGTGATACAACATGGAGGTTACTGCTCAGGTAGGACTCATGTAGGTCTTATGTAGGACTCAGGTAAGACTCAGGTAAGACTTATGTAGGACTCAGGTAGGACTTATGTAGGA